GGGAGCACGCCGGCCCACGCCAGTCCTCGTCCCTATCAGCCAAGTCTATGCCTGTCCTTTACAGGCCTCAGTTTCACAGCCCCTGGATGGCTTCTCCCTGCCAGCCCCAGACATGTTCACTTCCTGACACCCAGTCTTTGCTACCCCTCAAAATCTGGCCCCCATCCTGCCCATTGCAGCTCCTGTTCATACACCCCCACTCAGTCTTGGAGGGGGCCCCTCTGCTGGGAAGAGTGGTGGCAAGAGGTGGCCACTAAGGTCCTAAAGCTGTACTCTCCCTTGAGACCTGGGCCCTGCCTGGGAGCGGAGCCTTGTCCCATCGTGGCTCTTTCCCAAGGCCGACCAGGCATCAGACACCGTGCTGACTATAGGAGATACAGGGACACCGGAGTAGGCAGTGGAAAGTGCAGGGCCTTTGGATCCAAATGGACACAAGTGGCACTCCTGGCTGCCATTCTTTAGCTGAGTGACCTTAGGCGAGTTACTCAGCCTCTCTGACCCACAGTTCCCCTGGTCTGTAAGACAGGAGGGCAAATGCCTGCCTTGGAGAGTCGCTGTATGCGGACAGGTATCCACACAGCTACACTGGCAGGTGGATTAGGAAAGAGGCCCTAAGAGAGAGGCACAAGGTGCTATGAAGGCAGAGTTGGCTGGGCCCTGGGGCTACAACAATGTGGAAGGGGCTTTCTGTCTGGAAGAACCACAGGGTAAACTGAAAATAAAAACTCTCTGAGGGGGCCACTGTAACTGCTGGGAGTAGGAGAAGGCTTCCTGGAGGAGGGGACACTTGAGTGTAGATAGAAGAGCAGCGTTTGGCCCGCTGAGTGGACAGGGATAAAGAGCAGGCAGGGGAAGTGAGGTCTGGAGGATTCTGATGGCTCACAAGGCTCTCCCAGTACTCCTCTGGGGGTGATAGAGACTTTGAGGCTAGGTAGGGCAGGGGATTAGGGCTTCTTCAGAAACATTCCCAGCCAAAGCCCACCGGGACAATGCAGCTCCCTCAGGGGGTGAGCCCCACACTGATTTCCCCGCCCTCTGGGACAGGATGTCTCTGCCAGAGAATTTAAACAAACAAGGAGACACTAGAGGTAGGTCCAGCTTGCACATTTAGCACTGTTGTTGTTTGCCCAGGAGTGAGAGGAAGAGGGCAGAGGACACCAGCCCATGACAAGCACAGGGCCACTCAGCTGGGGCAGGGCACAAAGCAGAAAGAGGTTTTCTCCAGCTTTGTCCCCTCCCTACCCCCCAACAGGTGCCCAGAGGTCTCCTGTCTGCCTGTCACAGACATGCAGAGACCTGGAAACAGCACCAGGAGAAGTCAAGTCTGCTGCATGCCATGTGACCTTGGCCAAGTCAGTCCCTTTTTGGACCTCAAGATCCTCCTAGGTAAAAGCATGAGGTTATACTCCCTAAGCTTTAAGGCTCTGTTACAGCTCCATCAAACACTCCAACTGAGATCACTTATATAAAATGTCACATCTTCCAGGGGGCTGTGTATTTTGAAAGGCTTCCCTTGGAGAGGACAATGCTTAATTCAAAGATGGGTGAAATCTGGGGCACAGTACCAAGTGGTGGAGAGGAGATGTGGTTCCAGGGAACGTCTCCAATCCCAGCAGGTAGGGAACTGCTTCCTCTCCTACCTGGGACACTAGAATCTCTGTCCTTTTTTAAAAGACACTGGCTTGGTGAACCCTCACTGTGAAAAGCCCCCACCAGCTACCCTGCCCCACCCCTACACCCCCATGGCATGTAATGGAAAAAGCCACACAGGCTGGACTCAATCTTGGTTCACCCATCCAAGCCTGGAGACTTTGAACAAGTCACATCATCTGCCTGAGCCTTGGTTTCCTCATCTGTGAAATGGGAGTTGTGGTGCTGTACCTCCCAGGGTAGTAAGAAAATAAATGGAGACTGTGAATATAAGCAAAGCTCCTGGTCTAAAGCAAGTATCACATACATGTTACTTCCCTTCCCTTTCTCTGTCCCTACCCCCATGAGTGAGCAAACTCAGAGAACACAAACTCACTATCATCTGACTAAAGTCAAACAGAAAAAATTAGGGAAATGGGTTTATCCCATCTCCCTGTAAAGAAGAAAGGGCGCCTGGGTGGCTCAGTCAGTTAAGCATCTGACTCTTGATTTCAGCTCCGATCATGATCTCACGGTTCATGGGTTCAAGTCCTGCATCGGGCTCTGTGCTGACAGTGTGGAGCCTGCTTGGGATTCTTTCTACCACTCCTCTTGTGCTCTCTTTCTCTGTCTCAAAAAAATAAATAAATAAACTTAAAAAAAAAAAAGGAGGAGGAGAATGAGAAGTAGGAGGCAGAGAGAGAAGGAAGGAAGGAAGGAAGGAAGGAAGGAAGGAAGGAAGGAAGGAAGGAAAGAAAGAGAGAGAGGAAGGAAGGAAAAGAAAAGGAAGGAAGGTAAGAAGGAAGGAAAGGAAGGAAAAGAAAGAAAGAAGGAAAAGAACAAAGAGAAAGGAAGGAAGGAAGAAAAGGAAGGAAAAAGAAAGAAAGAAAGAAAGAAAGAAAGAAAGAAAGAAAGAACAGGAGGAAGGAAGGAAGGAAGGAAGGAAGGAAGGAAGGAAGGAAGGAAGATGCCAGAGATGACTAGGGGTGAGGGATGTGTCGGCTTCGTTCCTTCTTTAGCCTTTCTTCAGAGCAACTGTGTCACAACCTCTTCAGAGCAACTGTGTCACCAGGTTGTCACTGAATTGGCTACACTGTGGGTTCCTCAGGAAAATCCTAGGGGGGGTGGGGAAAGAGGCAGGTATCCCGCCTCTTAACAGGAAGGGTCCCTTCCCTCCTCTCCCAGTGACCCCTTCGGCCTGGGCCAGAAGCTTGGCCCATGACCCAGGCCACCCCCAGGATGGTTCACAAAGATAAAGTCAGTTAATGATTGGCCCCATGAGAGAAGGCACTCCCACCCTCCTGCCTGCCTTCCCAGACCCAGAAGTGCAGGGCAGGCCACAGAGAGTGGGGGAGACCTCCCCTCAGCTTCCAGTAGCAGCCTGGCCTAATATCCTCAAGATAACCGGTGAAGCAGACAATTGG